CAGCCCGCCCCGCACACCGGGGCCGGCCGGCTCCCCCCGCCCTTTCTCCGCATCCTGAGGGCGGCGGGCTTCTCGGCTGCCTGGAGGAGAGCCTAGTAGCAAACAGCAGAGAATAACAGAATGTTATGTTGGAAAAGATCTCTGAGATCATCGAGTCCAACCTGTGACCGAACGCCCCTCTGTCAACAAGACCGTGATCGAAGTGCCACGTCCATTCTAAACGCTCCAGGGACGGTAACTGCACCAGCCCCCTAGGCAGTCCCTTCTAATATCTAATCACCTTTTCTGTGAAGAAATGCCCTTATGTCCAGCCTAAATCTCACCAGGCGCAGCTTGAGGCCATTTCCTCTCATGCTGTCATTTGTTACCTGGGAGAAGAGGCCGACCCCCGCCTGGCTACAGACGCCTGGCAGGTGGCTGTAGCGGGTGATAAGGTCACTAACAGCGCCCTCAGCTGCTCCTCACAGGACTTGTGCTCCAGAACCTTTATCAGCTCCACTGCCCTTCTCTGGTTGGAGAATGGAAAAAGTCTATCCCAGAACAAAATCCCACAAGGCAGACAAAAGTAGTCCTATTTTTCCTACCCCCGAACACGATTTCCCCTGCAGTCTGTGCTCTCTGCTCTGCCCCGAGCACAGCCCCAGCGCCCCTCACTGCACGTACCCCACCACCCGGGCAGCCCTAGGCAAAGCTCCCTGCAGTGCAACCCCAAGAACATGCACCTGCCTCCTGCTAATGCTGGAAGAACCCATTTCTACATAGTCTGTGGATGAAGTGTGACAGCCTCCAACCCAAGAGCAAAATAAATGGAAAACCAGAATTTAATCCCAACCTACTAAGCAGAACAGTGAGCTACCATCAGAGGATAGACTGTTTCTCAGTGTAACTATCATTATCAAACAAAAGCTATGAGACCCACATGTAACTCTGGCTATTAAGTCTTAAATCCCCTAAAGAATACAGCTCAACCCAAACTCAGCTTGCAAAAACAGGGTCTGAAAATAGCTCATCTGGAAAATAAAATTTCAAAGCATATGGGTTTTGTTCAGTCATGAGGCTGCAGGCTTCAAGAAATTTAGTAGAAGTCACAGTGGCTGCACAGAGCACTTTTTATGACCCAAGAGATCCTACCTACTTTGCTCAGCAGTAGTTGAAACTGATCTGTCGCTTACCTACTTTGCTGAAGACATTCACTAAATGCAGGGCCATCATTTTCAAGACAAATGAAAAGCAAACAACAAGATAGAAAACCAATTTTATTGAATGAACAAAAGTCTAAAAGTCTCCCATTTTTGGTTAACAAAAGCAGCAACCTACAAAACCCCTGCATTCCATGACAAATCTTTTTATGTCAAAAAATTAATCCTAGAGCAGGTATGAACATTTGTACACAGAACAATACAACTGTTGAGATGTGTTTGGGCAAACAACTGGCTTTATCAGGGAAAGAAAAAGGAAAAAAAAAAAAAAAAAGAAGGACTTCACCTGGGACACCTGAAAAAGCTTGATTTGTGTGCTGGCTGAGAGGTATATCATCGGGGCTGCCAGCAGTTTTCAGCACTTGCATCCCCTTCACACAAAATGAAAAGAGCAGCAGAAAAAGGGCAGAGATTTTAAGACTGAGCAAGGAAAATAACTGCCAACAGAACACAGTGTCCAGCTAGCTCATTTGGCTAATGGTAAATGCAGCTTTTAATACTGAATTTCATAAGCTTGTGTTAAGTGAGTCTGTGCTCTCAGGAGGCTCCAGGGTAAGAATTCAGCCACTTTACCCACAAGCAAAAGTAACAGAAGTTCCATCCTCGAATAGACAATTCCTCAGTCAAAAAAAGGCAACCAGATAAGGGAAAAGAAACTGAGACCTGCTTGACAAGATATGATTATCTGACTCACAGAAGTCTAATGGGAATTAAATGGAGAATGTGTACATTCTCTTTGTAAATCCAGTAAGGTTTTCTAACCTATGTGATCTTTTTTTATATTTGCACTGGATATGGGCAGCCTTACTAAAATGAAGTGCTAAAAACAAAGGCAATGTTTATTTTTATCCTTACACCATTTGCAGAATAACCCTTTTTTATAAAGTCATACCATAAGTTTTCATGCTTTTGAACAATAAATATTTTCAATAAAGTCTGCTTATTACATTGAGTGATTTCAACCTGCTCTTTTGTTTCCACAGATCAGGACATAGTACAATTATTTCAAAAGAAATTATCAATTTTGCTATCATATTCACCTTTGATTGCAAAATTACAACAATCTGTGCTTATCTGTCACTTTATACATCAGACATCATCTATTGCAACCATATCAACATATTTATTTAATAATAATGAAGCTGTATCTTATACCATAATTTCTATTCTTATGTGTTCTAGGACTAATAAATCCCTAATATGTTTTGATTAAAACTAACTTTAATATATCAACTCTATCATCTAAAGTTAATTTTAATCATTTCCATCATAATCATTATAACTCTGATACCCACTGTTCCTCCTCTCCCGAAGATTAGATTTCTTCCACATAGAATCTTGATGAAAGCTAGCACTAAAAGATCGACCCAGTCGTCCGTGTTGTTTTTTAGATATATTGTCTTCACTCTCAGATTTGGAAATTCCTTGTCCTTGTGTTTGGGATTGTTTATTCTGTCTAACATTTCCAAATGGAAAATTCCAAGGACCAAACCTTTGCCAGTTAAGTCTCTGAAAGGCAATGATGCAGTGAAGATTTCCTCCAACCTAAACAAAGCAAAAAAGATTCTTTGTTAAATGCACAGCACAGGCACATTTCTAACATAAATAGATATTTGACATCAACATTTTGGCAAGTAACACCATACTTTCAAAAAGAAAGCAAACAAGAAGTGCCACAACATACAAACCAGGAAAAAAAAAAAAAAACCAACAATGAACAAAACACCACAGAATCATATACAGAAATACACAACTTGCATCAATCAGTTCTGATTATTTCCCAGATTCAAATAGTGCTTTCTTTTTCATCTTTTTGATCTTTTAAAGCTATCCATTTTATCCTTCTCGGGCCAGTATCACTTATCTTCTGCTATTCTTTTTTTGCTTTCTAGCTACCTTCTCAGCAATTATCAGTTCTGGTCCATTCTGATCTTGCTGACACAGTCTTCCATAGAGTCTTCACATCTGAAATCATCTCTTCAGTCTATTATTTCTCACAGAGTTTCAATCTACAAATCACAAATACATCCTCCCCCCATGAGATACAACCCTATCTACAGGAAAGAAAGCCACATGCATTGACAGTAACTCCACACAAGGGAGACACACACATTCTTTTATGTCTGATCCTACTCAATTGTACTTTCTTTCCCACTTAAATGTCATTGGAGGGTCATACCCCAAAGGGTCTGTAATCTGTCTGCAGAACATTTCTATTCTTGCTGCACCTACATTTTAAACCAACGAAGTTAAATATTCTGACCAAATACATTCTGTATACACAGATATCCTGATTAATCCTAGCATATATGAAGCTACTGATGGTTTACAACTTACCCAGCAAGTAAATCTAAATTATTTTGGCATGCAAGAACCTACATCATACTTTTGTCTTCAGCAACGCTTCCTAACAGAAAAAAATCCTTTAGTGAAGTTATCATCATACACTGCTGAAGTATGAGTAAATTTGCAAAAACCTACCATGAGTTTCCTCCCATCTTAGTGAGTTTATCTTACCTTCTTAGTTTTTCGATGTTGTAATCCTCTCTCTAGGTGTCGAATATCTAGATATTCTGGATTTTGAGTGTTTAGGTCAGTGACAATATCTGTCCACCTACAGAATAAAATCATTACTACTCAGCTGAAATTTACGAAACCTCAGCAGCACAAAGACTCACATACACATACACACAAATACAGACCTTTGGCTTTAAACAGTCTTATCAGTGATTTAAGGATAAATGAATGTGTAAAGTTACAAAAGGTTCAGCATTAGAGACATCAAGCTAGATGTAAAAGTGTCACTTTTAATCAAAGCATTCACAGTGATTATTCCTGCTCTTGGAAACATCTTCTAAAATGAGTAAGAGCACCATGAGCCATAGTTACATTCCTTACGCTCACCAATTCATAAGTTTGAGGAAAGAAAGCAGCAAGTGTAGTTTAGGCAAGGAGATACATTAACCTTTTTTAAAAAACTTCTCCTACCCTTTTGTATTAGTTTGTTCAGTTCCTTGGTTTCTTTCACACACTGTGATTTTAGACAGTTCTCATCATAACTCACTCCTCCATTTTATTTCATTCTAAACTATCAATTCAATCACTCCCCCACTCCCCATTCACTCAGATTTTCAAAGATTCTTAATTCCTTCCAGCCTAACTGAAACAGATATTTTCATATTCCAGACCTCTTTAAACCTGCACATCACCTTTTCATTTCCATCAATGTCTAACTACATGTTTCTCTTTAACACCACCCTACTAGTACAGAAAACACATTTCCACGCCAACCTTTTCCCCTTTTCCTTAAGCACAGAACTTCCTGCCAGCTCTCACTGGGAGTGCAGCAGGAGCAAGAAAGTCTCCACAATCAAAATTATAAATATATAATCATATTATAAATGGTTTTATTATATATTCAGAAACTTTTTCCTGTGCCTATATTATAGCTAATATACCACACAACTAAGTTCTCCCCTTGGGACCTACATTATGGCATTTCTCAGTAACCAGATGCATAACGTGATTTTAATTTTGTTCCACTTAATCTCACAGTCCAAAATACCCAAGTATTTGCAGTTATTGACAAGGTCACATCACTGACAAAAAAAATATATTAAATATAACTAATCCATTATATTTCTACATAGCACCCTCTAGCTCTCCTAGTTTGTATGTCTAGCTTAGACATCAATTTTGAGTCAAACCTCATTGTAAATGTACCGTTTGAATGCACAGATAAGCAAATAACACAACAGAGTATAGGCTGCACCTGCACCTGAGCTAGGAGGTCTCAGCAGCAGCAGAATATCTTGTGCACAGCCCAGACACAGCCCGTGGATGTCCTCAGCTCCAGTGTAAACTCCTCCAAGGGCCATGCAGCCTGTAAGTCACAACTGGCACGACCGTAGACAGCTGAGGTGCCTTTTCTTCCTGACTAATAAGAGCTTTGTCACACTCAAACAAAAGATATGGGCTTTTGGCTCTCAGCAGCCCACCTAAGTTCTGACAGGTGATATAAAACTGCCAGCCAGAGCCAGCCCTGAGATCAAAACACAAAGCTTCTCACTGAAGCATTATCTGTGTCTATTAGATACATATATATACACATGTATATATTCATTCGAAATAACTAAAAAGTCACTCAGTGACTCTGAGTAGAGTACTACAAACTGTTTTGAAAGAAAACATTGTTTTACATTCTTACCAAGTAACATACCTTTTACAGTGTATTGTTGGATGCTTTCTGCTGGGCTCTCCAATTAAGATCCAATACTCTACTTCCTGCTGCAAGACACGGCCTCTGTTCAATAGAAGATACAATCCTAGTAAGATTTATTGTGCATACTAAAAAGAAAAAGAGATGTTAACAGTCTCTTGTTCTTTTTAGGATTTCCTAACACTTAAAATTGTTTCCTCAGCCAAACTAAAACCCAGCTCCTGCGCTATAGTGCTCAAAATTGCATACAGGGAATCTTTTGTTTCACAAGGCCTGAAAGCAAACCTTGGAGATCCTGCTCCACATTATTTGGGAAGGCAGATTTTCATCAAAAGAAATTTTATGTGGATGAAAGACAGTCTGGTACATGATGTAAATATAAATATATAGGAAACATCAGATATAAGAGCTGTGGAAAGCCACATAAATGTGGTACAAACAACTTCCTCCCTATCTGTGATGTCTAACAGTCATGGAAGAGTCCTTTACACTGTTTTTAAACTACACCTCAGCTGACAGTTTTAACTAAGAGCTGTAGGGTTACCTGTACAAACAAAATCAGCAACTCCAAATACTTCCTTCTAAACAGCCAATACCAGATACTAAAATCTAAACCTTTGAATTAATACTACTTTGCAGTCAACTTCCAAGAAGCTCAAAGCTTGCGGTAACCTTGTCAAGGAAGATTTTTGACAGGTATTAGGGCAGAACTGATGAGAATGCTCTGTGATTTCCTGTGTATAATTTTCTCATGGAAAACTACATCAGTTTCAACTGTGACAAAACCTGGTATTTTTCTGCTTAGGGTATCAGCATATGGTTTTATTGCTTGGAACAATTTATTTACCTACAAAAATTCCCTTTAAAATAACAATGTATTCCATCAGTGGAAAGGTGGGAAACCAAGACACAGGATAGATTAATTGACTTACCTAAAGTCACACTGGAAGTCTGTGGTTGAACTAGGAACTGAACCCAGGTCTCCCGAGTCCAAATCCAGCAACCTAAGATCATACAGGAAGTCTGTGGGTGACCTAAGAACAGTCTCTAAGCTCAGCCTAACAACCTATCCACCCACTTCTTTTGGGACCTAAAATGTTTCTTAGATTGTTTTTTTTAAATAAAAACTTTCCTTTTTTAAGTAGAGTGCAAAAACAGGTAACCAAGAACTGCTCCAGAATCTATTGGCAGTGCTTCTGAAAACAAAACTTTTTTTTTCCCCTCAGTAGGATCAGAAAACACAAAGAAAACAGGATGCTCATCTGGTCTGACCTCCAGCCTAAAGTAAGGCTATAAAAGCTTCTTTAATTATTTCATGTTAAATTGTTAGAAGAGAACTGTTGTTAAGAAAGTTAACATTGACTTAAAAGCAACATCACGAAGTGACTAAGAATCCTTTTCAGCCATGGGTAAAGAATGGAAGTGTGGTTCTCACTCATTACTAAACAACATAAATTTAAATTAGTTAAAAGGCATGTTATGTTTCCATACACTGAACCATATTATTTCCCAGATTGTATTTTTGATCTATTTTGATCTATTGATTGTATATTTGATCTATTAAACTTTTTTTTTCACTTTGGTCTTCTAGTTAGGATTCTTCCTAACTGATTAAGTGATTAACATTTTGGTAAACTCAAATAGTCTGATGTGTTAGATTTCTACGTGGGGCCTATTTTTTACATTCTTCTTACAAACCTGGCAAGTCAGTGAACTAAGTCTCAACAAAAAACTGTATTATTCTGTACATATACTGAAAGTTTTCATTAACCCTATCATAAGCTTCACACTGGGAACCAATTAGATTCAGATGATTATGTTTTATCATCTCAAATCAATGACCATTTTGAACTCCAAAAGTAGAGCTAGCATTCTCCATTCCTTTATGTGACCATATCTCTTCAACAAAGTCAAAGTCAGATAATCAGTCAAATAGCCAAAGGTTCACCTTATCCTAGTGACCTACACTTTTCACTGTTTAACATTCACCAACACTGGTATCTGCTAATTTTCTCAGGGACTGACTTCTTATGCTCTATAATAATACTAATAAATACTGACCAATGGCTGGGCATCGAGAAAGTCCAACAGAATCCTTTAATACATACCATGTTTGCAACTACTTTGAGAGAGGAAAAACATCTTAATATGATTCAGTGAATGAGGTAAAACAAACTACTCTCGTTAAGAGAGTGCATAGAGTACTCTACTATGTATAGCAATCTACCTTGAACAGCAAGGTAAATGTCTTACAAAAGCTAATATGTATCTCAAGAGTTAATATTTTCAAAGTTGAAATTTGTGGGTTTAATGCAAGACTCTCCCCAAACTCCATATGAGTATTAATGATATTAACTGTTTTTTAAAATTTGTATTTAATTGAAAACTATATCAACTATTGCATTATATTATCCTAGTAGTGTCACTCTGACAAATCTGAAATTATTACACAGGGAACTGTACTTGTATTCTAAAACAACAGGATATAACCTTATAGAAGTTCTATAACCTTATAGAAGTACTCCATCACTTCAAGTATTATTAAAAAAAGCCAAACATAATGTCATAGTCCAAAGATCTCTCCTAGTTTTATTCCCTCCATTCCCTCACAATTCCTGGTAACAGATCATTCACATCTCTTTACTTTTCTATGTCTTACATGTCAGAAGTTGGAGTTTACCATCACCATTATTAGTCAACATTAATGCAAAAAAAGTACATAAGCACCATCCTGTGATACCTACAAAATCCCTGCTCCTGCCATACACAAGCACTGGTTCCTAAACATAAATTTCATTACCTCATGAAGGATTAATATCATTGCACACCTTTTACTTCTAGTTTATACAGGAAAATTGCAACACCCATACTCTTCTTTTGTTTTCCTTTCCAAGCTCTCTAGGAACAGACTCTCCCCATAATTATCTGGCTTTTTATTGTTTAGTCTTAAAAAAACCTACCTGGCCTTTTTTCAGCCCACATTTTTATTTTTCAGATTAGTTACTTAAAAAAACCTACCTGGCCTTTTTTCAGCCCACATTTTTATTTTTCAGATTAGTTACCTTCACTTGTCCTTCAATAAAATAACTACCTTCTCTCTATCTAGCTAAAACCATTTCCTAATAACACTGAGAGTTTTCTCTATTAAGCTCTCTCAATATAGTCTGTTTAGTTACATTTCATTTTAAGTCACTCCTTTCAAATCATACTCTACTGTTTTTTCTAACTCAGACAGATGTCTACATGACACAAACTGAAATGTTATTTATGGAGAAAAATGGTATCAAATTGAACTAAATTTTTCTGTATGTTTCTTCCACTAGCATAAACATAAACACAGATAAGCATATAGTATCTTACCTATAGGCTTTACTAGCTTTTACTGGGGTTGCTTCAAAACCAATTGGGCAAAAATAATGGTTTTGGCAATGGTAGATATAGGCCATTGATTCATCTTTCAGTCCTCGTGTTAGCTTTGCAAGGGCCCCTGCAGCTACAAAGGAAGATCAGGTTACAGGCCAGGGTGCTTTGGATCCTGAATAACATATTCAGCAGAAAAGAAGATCTATTTAACAACAAAAGTAGTTATATTGCTTTTTAAGTGAAAGGACGTGACCTGACAGGCATACACAAAATACATTTTTGATATCAAACTTATTACTTTTTTGTACCAGGCAGGAAATTAAATACTGTCTGCTGCACAGTCTGTGCCAGGGAAATGCAATATAAAGTATACTTTGTGTTTAGATCAAAATCAAATTTAAAAAAGCACCATAAGCATATCTTGAACTAGGAAATACACACTGCAACAGAATGCACTCCCAGCTGCCCTAAGTCAGATGTGGCACACATTGATGTTACTACCAAAACCACTGAAAACACTCAAAAGCATTTTGGTATCATGAGCTTCTTGGACCTTCCTAGTCTCAGGTACACATATGGGCATGCAGTGGTTTATAATGTGACCACAGTGCTCAGTTTCAGGAAAAGACTAGAAGAGGTACTGAAACATGACAATTTTCAAGTGGGATACCAAGGAAAAGAAATTCCATTTTCATAATCTCTAAGAATTTTCAGCGTGATTTTGTGGGCTTTTTTTTCAGTTAGAAGGTAATTACCCAGACTATACCAAAGGCTAGTAAACTGCGCATGAAAGTAAATTTTTTTAAAATTTGTATTTAATTGAAAACTATATCAACTATTGCATTATATTATCCTAGTAGTGTCACTCTGACAAATCTGAAATTATTACACAGGGAACTGTACTTGTATTCTAAAACAACAGGATATAACCTTATAGAAGTTCTATAACCTTATAGAAGTACTCCATCACTTCAAGTATTATTAAAAAAAGCCAAACATAATGTCATAGTCCAAAGATCTCTCCTAGTTTTATTCCCTCCATTCCCTCACAATTCCTGGTAACAGATCATTCACATCTCTTTACTTTTCTATGTCTTACATGTCAGAAGTTGGAGTTTACACCATTATTAGTCAACATTAATGCAAAAAAAGTACATAAGCACCATCCTGTGATACCTACAAAATCCCTGCTCCTGCCATACACAAGCACTGGTTCCTAAACATAAATTTCATTACCTCATGAAGGATTAATATCATTGCACACCTTTTACTTCTAGTTTATACAGGAAAATTGCAACACCCATACTCTTCTTTTGTTTTCCTTTCCAAGCTCTCTAGGAACAGACTCTCCCCATAATTATCTGGCTTTTTATTGTTTAGTCTTAAAAAAACCTACCTGGCCTTTTTTCAGCCCACATTTTTATTTTTCAGATTAGTTACCTAAAAAAACCTACCTGGCCTTTTTTCAGCCCACATTTTTATTTTTCAGATTAGTTACCTTCACTTGTCCTTCAATAAAATAACTACCTTCTCTC